GGATGATAGAGTTGATCTTTAAGCACATTCGAGAATATTTTTTGCATTCAAGTTAGGTCTGGGAGAATCGCTACGGAAGAAAATCGATAATTTGTTGGGAAATTCGTGAAAAATTAATGATACTTTGTAGGGATTCTTTGAAGTTAGAGAGCGATACTTCTCCATTCTGGCGAGGTATCGAACATCAATGGGGCAACAACAGTAGGTATACCATTGTATCTGGTATATTCGCTGGAATTTAAACAGTTACTAGCAGAGATCGCTAGTCGCGTATCGGCCGACATAACTGGCTTGGAGTTTGGACAATCCCATCCCATTTATGCACATGTTATTATATCATTGCAGGTTTTCGTCTAATTCTGATTTCATTTAATATAGGTAACTTTTTTTATGTTCATCTGTTTGTGTGAAGTCAAACTTTAAAATTTAAGTTAGGTTGGAACTATTTATATCATATCATACATTTTTTTAGGTAGTGGGGATTTTTTATTTTAAATTTAGTAATAGGTATTATTCTACTTTTTTCGTTCCGTGTTTGTAAATACAAACATAATTATAACCCCAATAATAATTTCAAATAAAAAATTATCGAAATACCTATTTCTACAACATGGGTAAAATAAAAACATAAAAATAGTTAATATGCCCTCAATTCTAGAGAAAATTGGTGAATTAGATTTTTCTGTGGATCAGATTTGTGATCAAATTTATAATGTGGATTCCAAAAAGATGTTTTTTAAACTTTGCGTCTCTTTAGACTTAGATCCACATTTATATTAGAATCGGTTCAACCTTTGGGTAAAATTGAGGAGATACAGAGACTCTCTCTTCAAATTTCAAAAAATCCCAACAAGATGTCATTAATTTTTCACGAATTTTCCAACAAATTTCCGACTTCCCCCGTAGCGACTCTTCCAAACCTATAGCTTGACTGCAAAAACCATTGTCGAATGTAATTAGCGGTCAACTCTATCATCCTCAAACTTCAAAAAATCCCTACAAAACATCATTAAATCTTCACGAAGTTTCAAACAAATTATCGACTTTCCCCCGTAGTGACTATCCCAGACCTAACTTGATTGCAAAAACTATTCTCGAATGTGCTTGAGGATCAACTCTATCATCCTCAAGCTTTAAAAAATCCCTACAGAGCATCATTAATTTTTCACGAATTTTCAAACAAATTATCGACTTCCCCCCGTAGTGACTCTCCCAGACCTAACTTGACTGCAAAAAATATTCTCGAATTTGCTTAAGGGTCAACTCTATACTCTCCAAATTTCAAAAAATCCGTTCAAAGCATCTTTAATTATTCACGAATTTTACAACAAATTATCGATTTCTGCCCCCCGTAGTGACTCTCTCAGACCTAACTGGACTGCGGAAACTATTCTCGAATGTGCTTAAGAGTCAACTCTATCATCCTCAAACTATAAAAAATCCCTACAAAGCATCATTAATTTTTCACGAATTTTCAAACAAATTATCGACTTCCCCCCGTAGTGACTCTCCCAGGCCACACTCGACTGGAAAAAATATTCTTGAATGTGCTTGAGTATAATAATTTTATTTGATTGAATTTCGCGTTTTTAAAATTTTTCTTTTCAATAATTATCTGGTCGACTGTAATATAACGAATCTAAATATGAATATGAAGCTAACTTCAGCAACGTAATTAATATTTTAAGTAGTTTGGTTTTGGCTTTCAAGAAAAGGGAGGAATGAGGATGCGATGTTTAGAGTGCTGGAAGAATTGTATACTCGGCTTAACGGGGGTGGAGTGGCCGCGGCAATGTTTGGTGACTTGTCCAAGGCATTATTTGACTGTGTTAGTCACGAAATTTTGCTGCGTAAGCATTATCACTCACTATGAGTTTAGAGGTCTAGCTAGCTCGTGGTTAAAATCCTATTTGTCTGATCGCCTACAAAGAGTTTTTATGGGGTAAATCTTCGATGAATTGGGGTATTGACTGGTGAGTGCCTCAAGGTTCTGTTTTGGGACCTCTTCTATGCCTAATATTAATCAAAGATATGGCAAGCCTGGAAATTGATGACAGGTTCACCCTTTTCGCGGATGACAAAACTGTCTTATGGCACGGTCGCGATTTAGCCACTTTAAAGTGTTCTACTTCTGGTGACCTTGAGAAAATCACAGTGTGGTGTGATTCCAACCTTTTGATTCTGAACTGTGACAAAACAAATTATTAGCTTCAAATGTGACTTAGAGGACTTGGGTATTGGGGATACTATTGTTGAACGTCGCCCTGATACAAAGTTTCTTGGACTTGTTATTGACAGGGAGCTGCGGTTTGAGTCACACATTGTTTTTCTAGGCAAAAAAATAGCATCAGGGAGTTAGGGTTACCCTTAATAAACTGGGCCCCTCAATGAGATGAACTATCAATTACGCACTTATTGAGTCATACATGGATGTACTGAAATGTACAATTATTTACCCGATAAAATGAAGATGCTTCCTACCAGTTCCTACAACGAAACAGTTCAAAAGAGGAGTTCGATTGGTAAGGCCTATCATAATCTGGACGGATTTTATGATGCTAATATTTGACAGCATTGTAGCACTCGGCGTATTTTGTTTTTTGTACTTCATTTAATTGTTCATATCTTATTAAAACTTAGTCATGTATTTTTGTTTTTTTCTTTGTTTATAAACTCTACACATAATGCTTAAGTTTTACCGCTCTATTTAGCATTTTGTTTGTTAGTTCTGATTTTAATTTTAACTGTTGATTTTGATAATTTCGAGATTTTGGATGGGGTACCACTACCATCTATTTGCAGGAACTTAATAGGTACCTATAGCGTTCTAGAATATTGTCCATCCTACACCCCCCGTCACAAGAAAGTTGTGACATTTTGTGACAATATTCCCTCTTATTGGTTTTGATCTGATCTCGGTGGGGGATGAATGGTCGGGATATCAAAAAAGTCAATAAAAGTTCTCATCTTTTTCCTTGAGGTTTTGGATAGGGTCACCACTAACATCTTTTGGCAGGGGCCTAATGAAGTGTTCTAGAAAACTCTCTCAAACTGGTTTTGAAATCGGTAGAGGATGAAGGCTTGAAAATATCAGGAAACTCCTCGGGAAACTCAATAAAAATAAGGTTTTTATTTGTTTTTTCGAGAATGTGGATTTGGATGTCTATTTGCAGGAACTCAATAAAGTATCCTAGAATACTCTCTTAAACTGGTTTTGAAATCAGTAGGGGATGAGGGGTTGAGAATATTGAAACGATCAATAAAAATAGGGTTTCTACTCACTTTCTCGAGATTTTTAATGGGGTACCACTACCATCTTGTGGCAGGGATTTAACGTGTGTTCTAGAATACTCCTTAAAATTGATTTTCAAATCGGTACAGGATGGAACTTTGAGAATATCACAAAACTCAATAAAAACAAGGTTTTTATTTTTTTCTCTAGTTTTTGGATGAGGTACAGGAATACCATCCAACTTTACAGTAGGTACCTATCTAGCGAAATGAGCGAAATTCAGCTCTCAAGAAATAAACGTATCATCTTCAAGCAAAGGCTGAAGTATAAAGAAGAACTGCTGCAGAACGAATGGTGGAGATCGAAGTGAATCGGACTGGAAAATAGTTTCTCAAGTAGCATTTCTCCGACTTACGACTAGATTTTCACTAATTCCGACGTTGTAATTGGTAGAAATTTGGGTCACTTATTAACTTTTCAGTCAAAGTTAATATCCGACTTTCAGCCGACGTTATGTTAACGTCAGACATTTATGGTAGCTGTAGTCAACGTAGGTCAGACGTTTTCGAGTGTATAGTTTTTTATGGTAAAGCTCGCGACGTTGAGCGAAAGTTAACTTTTGACGGGCGTTCTTTCAGCAATGTATCCAACCAATATCGACCACGGTTAGACGGTTGTTGAGTACAACGTTGGTATGGGTATACAATTAAGGTTACGAGAAGAGTCGGAGGTTAGACAACGTGACTTCTCAACCCTATCGCTATTCACAAAAGACAAAAATACAAAGTCGATCAACAATTATTATACTCCAATTTTGTTGTAATAGTAATACCTATATTTTTATATTTTTTTTGAAATGTCAGCCAGACAAACCTATAGGCACACCGCTAGTTTTTATAGAAAAATAAATACTGTTGATTAAAGCTTTAACTGGAAAAGTTGCCCACTATCATAGATATGCATGCATATTTTTCGATCTACCATCATGTGTATCATTAAAGTGTCGTGCGTTGGCAAATAGGAAGTTAGAGAATTGGTGCTCCTGGGGTGGAAATAAAATCACTAAAATTGAACCAAAATTTCAGATTTTTCCGTTAACATAACTAAACGTAAGTTAACGTTGCATTTGGTGAACGATGCAGCACTTCGAAAGTTGGTTACCAACGTCGGCACGACTGAAATTTGAATGTTTAAAATTAGTACAAAAAAGGGTCAGCAAATGGTTAATCCGACGTCGGGTTGTGTGAGGCGACGTGGGGCCAACGTCCAAATACTTTTTGGGTTATTACCAATCAGAATTATTCAGTTAACAGATATTCCCGATTTGCGCGGTTAACTGCTATAATTTCATTTGATGCCTTTGAATCTCGTAGCGTACGAATAGCGATGTCATGAAATAGTTAACAAAAATGCAAACTCAATAATTAAATGCGAATAATGAAAATAAAAATTTGTATTTTTAAAGTTATTTTCAATAATTGATAATAGGTTAGCTTCCCAAATAAGCTCCCATCTCCAAGAATAATTCACACGCGTGCCTAAAAAATAAAAAAAACAAATTAAGTCTTATGGCTTTTGTAATATCTGTTTTGGGTATGAGCTGTCACAAATTATTTAGAACACAAAAAAATGTAATTAGAAAATCAAGTTCTGTATTTCTATTTGAAACAGCAAGGTTCTAGAACAAGGCAATGAAAGCACATGCGCGTCATCAACTAGATCAATAGTAATAGTGCATCACGTGGGAGAAGGTTTTATACGAAAGAATCTGAAATGAAAATTTATGGGGAGCCGCCAATAAGCGTTTCGGCTTCATAGACCGGGGGTGAATTTTAGGGTAGATAGACCAGACCGCTTGCCGACTAAATGGAAAATCAATATTACTATCATCCGACCCCATGTGACTAGGGGCTGCTACTTTCAGTGTTATTCTTTAATGTGCGAAAACCGGTTTTGGCGCAAAGCAAATTCAAATACGAATAACTGTTCAAGGGCACATTGTGCGTTAAAATTTTTGAAAGTAGGAATTTTAATACTCGATTTTAGTGAATTTTTGTGCTAAGTGTCGCTCAAATTATCAACAGGTAGAGCCTAGCATGTCTTGTTCTGAACTTGTTCTTACTTATCGAATCGTAGCTTTAATTACTGTAGACTCATACTAATGTAAAACTCATATGGCAGAATAAAAGCAACATAGTTATTTAGATCCCCCTATAGTTGCTAAAAAGTAGACTAAATAATAAGTAATATGGCTCGTTGATCACCCATAAGTATTTTGGTTTATTGCCAATATGCAATCAAACACGGGCCCACCATCTAGAGACGTCATCAGGCTTGAACCTCTGGGAAAATTTAAACAAACTCAGAATGGCAACATCCGATCACAAGGTGGGTTCATTTGATCTTAGTTAATTTCATTAAGTTGTAGCTGATCGATTTTATAAATAGAGTTTTAGTTTATATTCAAATACCTATATATTTTTATCATTTGGGTTAGTGTGTATCCTTAGCCCTCTGTAAAAGCTCTTCTAATGTGTGTCAAAATGATGTCCTCGACCTTTATCCAAGTCGGGATTGCATGTTCTTAAAATTAAAGTATAATGGAGCACGTGCAAACTTTCCCACCTGACAGTGGCGTAGGCGTAGATAGGTACCATTATTTTATATGACTTTTGTCGCAGAAGACGTCCACCCAGCAAAAACTGCATAGGTGCCTAAATGGAGTGCCGGCTGATATGGAAATTATGGAATATGTTTTGCGTATTAGGTACCTATAATTTTTTGATGGTTCTAATAACTATTGGGTTGTTTGATGTTTCTAACTCAATAAAACGCAAGCTAATTGAATATAAAGAAAGAATACTATATTGCCTTCCCCTACTATATTTTTTATTATACATATTAACCAGCACCAGATATCAACCAATTCTTTCAAAAAACTACTAGAATAGTTTTGTAACTAAATTTGCTTGAAATAAAATAATGTAGTAAGAAATTATATTCACACATCTAAAAGAAAAGTCACACGTGTCCTTTCTACAAAAAATGGTTAAACCACTCAAAATAATTGAAGAGACTTTGATTGAAGAAACGCATGTTTCTAGTTAACTTTTATTTTATTTTATTAATTATATTTATATATTAATAAATAAATATATATATAGGTACCTACATTAAAGTAGACTCTGATTTGGTCGCTGTACGCGAGACGAAAGTCCGAGATAAGCTAGACAATCGCACCGTGTTTAAAAAACCCAAATCGACACAATACACTGAAATATATAACTCCCCAAAAAAACAACTAGACAAAACGGTTATAAAAAAATACAATCACTGTAAAAAATTACTTGCTGAATTCTAGCGATGGTTATGTATATTAAGCCTGGAATAGAGTTGAGATGGATCAGATAAATACCTAGCCGTTATGCCTGTTACATCGACAAAAACTGCGGCTATTTTATTATTATAATTGGAATTTCAATTGCGTTGAGTTCATCCCCTAAAGTATCTACATACCTCAGGGTGTTTTTTTACATGAATGTTGAAAGTACGAATTTGTTTTTTTTGTTTTTTAAATTTAAATAGAATGTTCAATAAAATCATTCAAATCTTACACTACAAAAAGAAATTGATAAAATGTACAAAAGAAAAATTGATTCCGATTTGGAAAAAATAAGTTAATTCAAATCAATACGCGTTTTAAATAAAAAAGAAAATTCCATTACTTCCGCTGGAATTTCAATAATAATTCGACAGCATATTACAGATGTCACGTTATCCCATTAATAAAACGGGAACGTGCATAGAAACTCAACGAGTGCAATAAACATGAGGTAGGGCCGGTAGGGGGAGGGTCAAGGAAAGTCAGCAGGGAAATTTGCTCGCTACGCCGCTGTCATGTGATCAGGAAGGGCCGCCCGCGTGCGGGAAAATAAGCGTGCGCATTTCATCTCAAAAGGGGGCGCAGGATCCTTTTGCCGCGCCGAAAAAAGACTACAGTTTCACTCACAGCACAGTCGACCCCATCAGAATATTAGATCAAAAACGTCCCTTAAATAGTGACACACAAATATATCACGTATAGTACAACCGAAAATATCAAAATCAAATATTATAATAGCGCATTCGACCAAACTGTCGTGTTCAACTTTCAATCAGAATTAGAGTTTAGCGTGTAATAGCGGAAGTAGCGATAGGCTAGATCTATTACCTAGAAAAATTAATATCTTATTCTGAATCGGCTAGTGTTTGACTACACAGTCAGTCCGGTGTACATCCGCGTAAAGAGTGAGTCTTGCAGATAAAAGATCAAATTTAGTGTGGAGGGCCATAATTCAAATCGCGAACCTTTCGTTAAGATCTCAGTCGTCACCGGGCTGGAACACATTGAAGCAGTAGTCTGGCGTCGAGACCATAGAGTGATGAGCGATCAGGATGTTGATGATGTTGCGTTTCTTACAGGTACAAATCATGCTCAAATCACCCACTCCATCTGTCAATCATCTCCTCTTATACATAACCCCTGTGACACAGGCGGTGTTGCAGGAACTGATAGCCCAACTGGCCAACCCCAAAAGAAGACGCTTTATGAAAATAATGGGGTGGCTGCCTGTAGCCACAACAGAGCTCTCTGCATTGCTACCATCGTCTTTGCTCTTCTTTTCACTATTGCCATTATCATCGCTTTCACTGGACCACAAAGTGGTAAGTTACATTTATTAGTACCTATTCAATAATTTTTTTTTTCCAACCAAATGATTCTTTTTCTAAATATCATATACATATATAGTAAAGGTATTACATTTTTATAATCGTATACTTAATATAATTTTAAATTATAATTTGACCCCTTGCCTCACCAACATGCCAAATATATTGTGCTAATATTGAGCAGTGTATTCTCGAGCGTTGGAAACTCGCTATTGAGACGAATATCCAACTGTGCTTTTTTGAATAATCTGTACCCTTTTCATTGTCGCATAATACATTTGTGCAATTTGATGCAATGCGTATGGTGAATACATTAGGATTACATAACTTAAATTGAAATGAATGGAATGAAATAAAATTAAAATTACCACAGTTTTAAGGCCCATTATAAAGATTGTTGTATTCTACTCTAAAAAAAATTACCACAGTTTTTAGGCGCATTAGAAAGATTGTTGTCTACCAGAATGCCGAAAGGGATTTAATTTAATTTAATTTTTTTAATGCACTCTCGTTCTGGATACGACACATTTCCCATGCTTGGAAAGCTTGGTCCCGACCTCTTAAATTTCTATAAAAGAAGAAACATCGGGTTAGGAAATTCTGTTGTTCACGGGGAGCACGTTTTCTTTTTTTTTTGGAATTCTATTATATTCGATTCGATGTTTTTCTAGATAGATCCGGAGTGCGTGTCCGACTATAGATAGCGCGTAATAGTAGGTATTAAGAGTCGGTCTAAGGGCGGGTATTATAAAACTATTTTCACAATTGACTAAAAGTTAACTACTGGAATGACATCACATGTCATAGTTTACTGCAAAATTTCGGAGTTAACGTTATCGGGTGGATGGGGTATCGGTTAACTTTGTAGGAAGTCTTGGTTTTCGATAGTTATGTCAATAATTAAGTATTTAGCAAAGAAACGACACCCGGAACAACACTTTAAAAAATAACAAATAACATTACCATTGAAACTTGAAACCAAGCCAAAAATTCTAGGTTACCTTCTACTTTTGTTCCTCTTCTTCTTCTTCTTCTTCTTCTTTTTCTTCTTTTTATTTTAAAAATGGGATTTTTATAGAACTGACATTTTAAAAGCTGAAGTTAACTTGACTGTTACAATAAGAGGTGAATTTAAAACATGTTTATAATACCCGCCCTAAATGGAAGCTTTTTTGTGAGCAGTTTAAATAGGAGTTTAGTTTTTATTCGAATTTTATGTATAGTCAATAGGTTTAATAAAATATGTTACTGTTTGGTCTGTTATTAAACTGAGTTTTAGTGAACCCGAAATCCGTGAAAAGTTAGTGTCAGAAGTGGGATTATTAGTAAGACAATTACTGGCGCATTAATTTGAGCTAATTAGTAGGATCATTTAGCAAAATAATTAATAGTGCATTAATTTGAGCTGAATAATAGTGATATAATTGGTAAGATAACTACCTACTCGTAGTTTATTGAGCCAATTAGTGGGATTATTAGCAAGACAATTTCGTCATCGAAAAAAAAAGCTCAGAAGCGAATTTTATTGAAAATTCTATAAACTTCTATAGAATTTTATTTGGAAACCTTGGACATCGAAAAATAGGCTCAAAATCGGAATCGAACTTCCATTAAAATATATTTGGAAACCGTAGGTGATACAAGAATAGTGACTTGAAAAATGATTTCGACATCGAAAAACAAGTCCGTAGACTAGTTTTTTTAGTACATTACAACGTGTTCTAGTTGAAAATTTGACTTCGCCATAGAACTTTAGATTCAAAATCAGAACATTAGTGTATTACGACTACTGTTGATCCAGAGGTTAAAGTTATACCTCAAGCGGCCGCTCTGTGGATTATTATAAAGAGGAGGCGCAAGTAAGGCAATCCAGGGGAAGAACGTAGATATGACGGTAGATCTACAAAAGTCAGGAAGGCTTGGATGGATAGGCATAGAGATATCGAGGAAATGAATAGATGGAATCATTATGGATCTGAGTGGAGGTATAGACATAGAAGAGAAGGTGTTGCATCTTGACAGTCAGATCTGACGATCTGATTTGAGAAGGAGGCAGTGTTACGAAATTGCCTGTACAGCCCTACCGGATTCTAGGAAATTCTTTGTTGATTGGGAGCACGTCTTTTCTGGGACTTCGATTCGATTTTTTTCTCGATAGATCCGAGGTGCGTTTTCGACTATAAACAGTGTGGTGCCAAAGACCCCCTCCCAATTTCATAATAACTATTATTTGTTAAACATACAGTAAACAATAATTACTGCGATGTAGGAATGTGTTTAATGTATTTTTAATATTTGTTAAGTGAGGTAGAAATATTATTATTCAATCAATCATTAATCGGGTGTTGTACAATAAACAGCATGTAGAACTTCCCCTGTTGTATTATTTCAAGCTTAATAACAACGACGTATTCACAATAGCGCCTAGTAGGTAGGTACTAGAGCGTCAGTCTAAATAAGAGCTTTGTTGTGTAAACCCACGTTTCGATAAGTGATAAGTGAATTTTATATGAGGTCAATTTGTTCATTGAAAGTTGTTACTATGTTTGTGAATTGAGTTTTAGTGAACCCGGAACCCTTGACAATAAGTTAAAGCATGGGACAGTAGGTGTCGATTCTTTTTCCCAAGTTTCCTGAGTGTTGGTTATTTGGGGTTGATGTTCCGATAACGGACATAGACTTCCCAAACTTGGTTCTGCCCAGTGGCGTCTCTAAGTTGAGTCAGAGGGGTTTCCTAGGGTTTCCCCTTGTATTGGGGGACTGTGGCGTTTCACTAGTGGTGAAGCGATACTGGTCTTTGATCCATTCCCCATCGATGTCTTTAACTAGCTACTTTTTTGTGTCTATTTGGATTTTATTTAAAATTCTCTGGTAGGTACTTCATGTGCAAGAACGCTATGGCGTTTAGAACGATCTAACAGTTGAATAAATACAGAATTCGCTATACCAATACCAGCCATGATAAACTTCCAATAATTATTGGTACCTTTTCGGAAGTTAATATTCCTCTAAAAAGGAACTGGATTGGCCTACGGCTATGTTTATATCAGCATCAGTCTCACCCTAGCATGGTAGCTCTAATCATCTCCCAATTTTCCTGCGACGTTTAATAAATTTACAAATCTAAACTCACTGGAGCCGAAAACATTCTGCACTTTATCAAAAGCTTAATTTCCGCTTGTAGAACTACCTTTAACTAATCTAAGTATAATTTCTTAGGAAAAAATACATTTTAGGGCTTTGCAAGACCAAGACCAAGACCAAGACTGGTCCAGTCTTGGTCTCGAAAAATAAATGCGGTCTTGGTATTGGTCTTGGTCTAGATGTTTCAAGACCAAGACAAGACTGGCACAGTCTTGGTCTTGGTCTTGGTCTTGATAGTCTTGGTCTTGGTCTTGATAGTCTTGAAAAAAAATTATACCAAATTTTCAAAATATACACAACATCCAACGACAGAGCAGAGATAATGGGTTTAGGACTTCAAAAATAAAAAATAAACCTCCCTTTCTGAAAAAATTATGCGAACGTTTCGACCATGCATTTGGTCTTCTTCACAGGCTATTTTTACCACCAAGAGCGTTTCATGTCAAAAAATACTACATAAAGCATTCCATAACACAGAGGAACAAACAAACATCAACTCTTAAATTATAATTTTTATTAACGGAACAGAAAAGTTGACAAACACATCATAAAATTGCCATTCTGTACCGAGGAAAAAATTAATTTCTTTTCGAACCATAGATTAAACCCCAGAGAAAGGTTTTCGAGAACCCTCACATAGTCACATACCTCTCTTGAATTTTATTGGCCTATTCACAATAATTAGATTTGGGTTAGTTTGGGTGAGATGTGGGGCTTGTGTTAGTTAGTTAGTTAAGAATTATCTTTGGAAATTCCAATACTCAGGTATTGTATTATGCAGGGATAAAAAAATATCGATGTGTTCTGTGTAAATGAATGTTACCTACACTATGTTGTATGTAACCTATAATACCTTCCCCTGAATTTCAAAAAATAATAAATTTGATTAATTGATTTAAGAAGAAAAGATATAGGAATTTGCATATTTTTATAAATATTGAGTCGATTTTTCTTTTCAAGACCAAGACCAAGACGAGAGTCTTGAGGGAGAGTCTTAGTCTTGGTCTTGGTCTTGAACGTCAAGTCTTGGTCTTAGTCTTGAGAAGATTTATCAGGTCTTGGTCTTGTCTTGTGGTCTCGCGAAGCCCTAATACATTTATCATAAAAGAATATTTGTATTAGATATGGCACTAGAATTTGGTGTCCTAGGGCCTAGGCTGAATCACCACATTCTATTAGTGAGCTGTGCTATTAGTACATCTAATCTAGCAGGGTTGGACGAAATTTTGGAAGTGGGCCGGGAAATTTTAGTCCGGCAGCCCATACATTGGTGGATTTATGGGGTACTTCCCCACACTTAGATGTGATCTAATAATATGATAACAGTCATAAAACAATAAATGCTTAATGAAAACGCAGAATAAAAAATAACTCTTATCTTTGGTTTATTTATTTCAAACAATCAAAATAATATTATCTTTAATGAGGGGCTCAAATTAAACATTTCCATGGGAATCTTCTCAAAAGTCAACAATTCTAAGATGTCATTCATTATTTAAGTTCACTATCACCAACGCATCCAAATTTTGATCGATTTTTTATGTCTTCAAGTGTTCAAAAGCATTTTTCACACCGTATTCGTGAACACGTTAAAATAAGGATATACTGGTAAATGCCTTAAAGATGACTGCAGGCACAGATGTATAATCTCTATTCATACGAAACATTAAAACAGCAAACCAAACATTGTTTGCAAAGTGAATGTGATGAACACTTTTTCAGAGAGTTCTAATTCATTCCCTGTATCCAACCCTGTGTCATTTACATTACCTTCATCTCCATAGATGGATCCAGAGAAGTCATACAACTCTGTCCTTTTCGAGTCAGGCCATTTTCTTCCAAATTTCCTA